CGGAATCCATCCTATTTTGACAGGCGCGGCTGATCCCGCGGCCAGTTTCACGAACTTTTGGATACGCCAGGATGATGAGCCCGTTGTTCCCGTCAGTAAAGCCTGAACAGCCGCAGAATTGTCGAGAAGGATGTAGATAGCGCTGCGTCCTCGATCTCGATTGCTGGCAGTAGTTGCTTCTATAGCAGCCAAAGCTCCATGGACCTCTGCGTCGTAGACCTCCGCATTGGTAATTTTGCCTGAGACGCTATGCTCAATTCTCGTACCTGTGCCACTGATAAAGGTCACAAAGGCCCATGAAACTTTGTCGGTGGACGCCCCAGAACCATCACTGTACACGCAGAGATAGTCGGGTGGGAGTGTAGGCAGCCACTCTCTTATGAACTTGGCAGCCTCTTTCTTGCTTGTCCAGCAGGGAATTGGCTGAAGGGGGACCGGAGGTCGGAGCGGTGGAGGTAGTTCAGCCTCTGACAGAAGTCGATACATCCTCTGGACCCTTGAATCATGAACTCTGTCCAGACCAAGTCTGGTTTTGTTACATGTCTTTAGTCCAAGTCGGTGGCGAGCGCTGTCTGTGCTTTCCGTGGCCCGAAGTCGAAGCGGATGGTACTCATCTAGTCTTCGGATTCGTGCGGCAGTCTTGAGCCTGCGTTCCTCGAGCAGAATTTGTGCTGGCGGAATACCAGTCTCCCTTCTCAGGGCTGCGATGGGCATGGTGCGCCAGGTTGGTAGAGTCACGCGGATTCCAAAGGCAGAGGTTTGGTCAATAACTTTGCACTGTCTCTTACATGAATTTCGCGCGACACCCCGATAGGTTTCCCTGGTTGGCCCCGGGTACCAGGATTCCGCTGCGTGCATCGCGATTGGCAGGACTACCGTGCGGATCACTGTGGTTAGTAGGTCGGGCCTTGGTCCCTGGGTGCACTGAGTGAGCCGTCGGAAGTGTTGCACTAGCCGCATTGCTTTACTGGTCCACTTTGCGACGTGGCTTTCGAAGGTCAGACCGCGATCAAGGTGTACTCCGAGCCATCGGATATCGTAGGATGCTTGTACATCGCGAGTGCCTACCCTTATAGCCGGAAGATCGTGAGCCCTGGATCTGGGGCCGACGAAGTAGACTACTTCGGCCTTATCTGGGTCGAAAGAGACGGCATTATCAGCAGCCCACCCTAGGACTGCATCGACTTCTCTCTGGACAGCTGCTGCGGCTTCGTTCGGAGTTGAACCTATGCCGAGGATAGCAACATCATCTGCATAGCCGAATCTCCAACTACTGCCCCCCACGACTTCGGCCATGTAAAGGAGGAAGAGAATCGTGGATAAAGGCGATCCTTGTGGCAGCCCGCACTCTAGGTGAATTGGGTCTGTTACTCCATCCTCGTGTCTGACACGGGCCGATCGTTCTTTCAGGAAAGACTTTATCCAAGTGATGGCTGGTTTCGGCCACCCAACTTTATTCATCCTTTGCAGCAGTCTTCCGTGGAGTACAGCGTCAAATGCACCCTGAACGTCTAGAGTGACAAGGACTGCTTTCTTCTGCCTCTTCATTGCATGCTCCACATCGTGGATGACGCATGAGACAAGGTCGTTAGCGGATCTGCCGGAGAGTGCTCCAAAAAGCTGCTGCGGCACGGCCTTGTACGAGACGGCGGTGTAGGCCATGCGCCTTGCGACTAGTCTCTCAAAACCTTTGCCGAGAGAGGATAGCAGTGCGATGGGCCTCCATCCTTTAGCTGTACTGAGATTACGGCCAGGTTTGGGGAGAAGAATTACTTCCGCTAGCTTGAATGCCTTCGGGAAGTGGTTCAGTCGAAGTGAGCCTTCAAAGAGTACTCTCACTGCTTGTCCTATTGACGGCCAGGCTGTCCTAAAAGCCGCACAGAAATCATGTCTGCTCCGGGAGCTTTATTCTGGCAGGCCGTTGTGACCCACTTGGCTTCTTCATCAGTGACGCTTGAGGCCCATGGAAGGTTTCCGCGTCCTGGCTCGAGGTGTTCGATGTCCACGTCGTTTTAGCTGGTGAACCGGCCGAGAAGGAGATCGCGCAATAGGAGTGCACGCTTTCCTGGATCCGAAACAAAATCATCCGGTGTTTGGAGTGGCGGAGCGGCAGATGTAGGTTGCGGCTTTGCCCAGCGTGCCATCCGATACATGTCGATGTCTGTTGTAGCTTCCGAGAACTTTCGCCGCCAGTATTGGCGTTTCGCACTTCTGACTATGCGACGGAAATCCTTTCTACTCTCTTCGTCCCTGAATATCCTATATTCGCGTTTGGCCTGTGAGCATTCCAACGTCCACCAAGGTGCCGTCCTATCCTTCTTCGTGCTCCCGCGTCTTCCGGTAGCCCTGATAGCATCGCTGATGGTTTGAACCAGTTTATCCGCAAGGTTGTCCACCGCACTTGTTGAGACCATAGGCTGCATCCCTATTCCATGGGCCCACCTACCTAGTACCTTGGTGAAGTCTTCGAGGGCGTCGTCTGTCACTCGTACCAGTTGACCAGTTTTGATAACCGCTATGGCTTTCGAGTTCGGGCGGGGAACGTCTCCTGCAAGCGTTCTGTGGTCCGATGTTGAGTCAAGCTCTGTCGAGACATCTGCAAGGGCACCAGCGATAGACCAGACCAGGTCGAGTGTGTTTCCAAAGTCGTGTGTCGGGACGCCCGGTGTGGAAGATAGGTCCATACCGTGCTCGAACATCCACTCGGTGAGCACCTGGCCGTCACCGTGTAGCCTAGTAGCCATTGGCTGCCAGTCGTTGTGAACAGCATTGAAGTCTCCGCCAATAACTGTAGGCCCAGATGGAGCCCATGATAGCAGCGGCAAAAGGTCTGCTCCAGGAGCGCGGTATACGGAGACAAATGTGACTCCTTCTACCTTTACTGCAGTGAGATCTGGTGATGTCTCGCAGATTGCTTGCTGTTGACAATGGATCCCTCTTCGCGTGTAGATGAGGGAGCGTGGCCTTGAAGAGTTAACAGCGACACGGGGAGGCAAATGCCTATCGAATCCGGGATGCGACTTGGTGAGCCAGAAGCCGTCCTTGTGTTTAGTCCAGGGTTCCTGGATGAGTAGGACATCGGTTCCTGAATCCCAAGCGGATTGCAGGATGATGTCCGTAGCCGGGTCTCCTCTGCCCAGATTAGCGCAGAGGAACGAGATTGTTGTTGCCGTTTTTTGAAGCTCGGTTGGGTTGTGGTCCCTTACGGGCATTGAGCAACGTTTGTATTTTCGTTTTCAGCAGTAGCCTCGGTGGCTTTCTGCTTTGCTTCCATCTCTCTGATCGAAGCATTCCTTTCTTTTTGACCCTGCTCGCGGATCACCGACTGCTGGTCCCTTGTGCGTGGCACCGTCTTCCCACCAGCCCGTGTCGGCCTAGCCATACAGTTAGGCTCAGTTGCAGCATGTGGCCCGTGGCAATTGATGCACCTTGGTACGGCCTGTTTGCACTCAGTAGCTTTGTGCTCAATTGAGCCACAGCGGGTGCAGCGCTCTGCTCGTGAACAAATTTTAGTTGGGTGGTGTCCCCAGCATCGGTTGCATTGCGCAATTTTGAGCTTGCGCTGGAGTTCGTGAAGGCACCCGCTTTCTTCAAACAGTCTTTCTCCAAGTTTCGGTTTTCCTGTTGCGAAGTGCAACACCCAGTCCGTTGACGGCCTGGCCATGCTAGTAGCGAAAGCACGAGCTGAGGTTGGTCTAACTCCTGTTTTGAGAGCTGCTTCTTCTATTACCATCTCTGGTGTCACTATGGTGGGCCCTTCCAGAGTGTAAAGCTTGTCTGGGATATTCGGTGCCAGGACTGATATCCAGTTGGAGGCGGCTTCCAATTTCATTTCTGAGCTATCTTATATGGCTCCTCCTGAGAGAAGTGCACCTCTAGCTCCTTCCCCTTCGGCTTGTATTGCGAACCCTGAGTTCACGACAGTGACCTGTTTGATTGTCGAGTTGGCCAGACGCAGCTTGCTAGCTAGGCTTATTTTAACGAAGTGGGGTGACATACGTCTCCACGGGTGGTCAGGTTTGAGGCGCAAAAATACGCGCTCGTCAGGTCGCTGGGGGTTTGTTGCTGGAGCTTTAGGCTTCAGCGCGGAAACGGGCCTCACTGGCACTGTCTTCGGTGTTGAAGTTGGAGCCACTTGGTTTGCTGGCTTGTTTCTTTTTCCCAACACCTCGGTCCAAGATTTCTCTGTAGCGTTGTTGTTGGTTTTGTTTGAGCCCTGGTTGGGCTGGAGAGTTGCGGTTGTGGCCACCGGCCTTTGTGGTGCCGGTCTATTCTTTTCTCTGGCAAGGATTAGCACTGGACGTGTGACGCTTGCAGGACTTTGTTTTGGAGGCTCTGTGACTTGAGCCGGGTTAGATGTGTTATTATGGCCGCTTGCAGCCTTTGGGGGAGTGTTGGCGTCTGCTTGAGATGGGTTGCCCCATAAAATTTCCAGTATCTTGCCCTGAAGGGCCAGTAAGTCCTGATCAAAGAGTTTTCGAAGTCTCTCGTCAGTGACTGGTTCCAACAGCTTGCAGAACCCGATGATGAAACGCTCTACTTGTGCAGAGCGCGTCTGGAATATCCTGCCCTGTTCGGCGAGGAATTCGGTCGCGACAATTTGAGGCGACGGAGTTTGTTGGTGGGGCGAGCTTCGATGACTCGCCTCGTAGATTGGCTCTACAAATTGTTGGGTTGGTGGTTGTGATGGCGGTTGTGGCCCGTTAAGGACCATTTCGACGTCTTGACGCGTCGAACATTGAGTGGGGAGGGGGGGCCAGGGGCCAGCCTCTGCGGAGGACTGGGGCGGCATGGGTGATTGAGAGATGAATTTGTCAGTAAAATGTCGTAGGTAGAATGCGATGTGATGGATTGTCCTCACTTGAAACGGCGTTAGGGCTGCAAAATATATCAATACTTGATTAGTGGGGCTGGTACACCGCCTTACGGCAGAACAAAAATAATCCGAATCATTTTATTCTTGATAGTATTCATCCTGGGAACTACGAAAACATTTCAAAATGTCCAAATCAAAGCCTTCAAGAAAAGATGAATCTACAGATCCAAATATGGACTCTCGATTCAAGGCTCTGGAAACGGATCCCCGGTTTCGCCTCCCTTCAAAGAAACAAACTCGAACTAAGCTTGATAAGCGCTTCTCTCGCATGCTCACAGATTCTGACTTCCACAACTCTACTACAGCAGATAGATATGGAAGACGCTTGAAAAAAGGGGGGAAAAAAAAGGCATTGGAGCGCCTCTATCTTCCTGAGGATGCTAATGAAGACGAAACACAGACAGAAAGCAAGGGCCGTAGCAATAATCTTGACACTAAGAACGATGAAATCAGTAGCGCTAGAAAATCAATTGAAGGGTCCGAGAACGAATCAAATGATATCAAAGGAAGGAGTTACAAGTTTTCACCGGATGGTGATACTGACACTACAGATGCGGTTCACCCAAAAAATTATGATCCAGCTCGTGGAGGAGGCTTCTCTTCATCGGAAGATGATAATAGTGACGAGGAAAAAAATGTAGAAGAAAAATTAGACGACGATGATGAAGCAGAATTTCCGGACATACGAGCTGCGCAAACTGATGTTCCCATGGGCGAAGTATCTTCTCGCTTTGCGGTAGTCAACTTGGATTGGGATAACATTAATTCAGAAGATCTATTCGCTGTCTTCTCGTCATTTCTTCCTCCTGGCGGGAAGATTCATGAAATTTCAATATATCCCAGTGAATTTGGTAAAGAGCGAATGGACCGCGAAGAAATCGAGGGGCCCCCTAAAGAAATCTTTGCACAAGAGGGATTGGATAACTTGTCTACAAATGATGAGTCTGAAGAGGATGAAAAAATTGCTCACTCACTTCAAAAATCCGACGAAGGTAGGGAATACAACGATTCAGCGCTCCGAAAATATCAGTTAGAGCGACTCTCTTACTACTATGCTGTTGTTATATGTTCATCGCCATCGACCGCACATGCTATCTATGAAGCTACTGATGGTCGAGAATATCTATCATCAGCAAACTTCTTTGATTTAAGATTCATACCCGATGGAGTCGAGTTTACTGAAAAAGAACGAGATAAATGCTCGGCTCTTCCATCAATGTATCGCCCTACTGAGTTTGTAACAAATGCATTACAACATTCAAAAGTCAAATTAACCTGGGATACTGACCCAAGCGAAAATACTCGAAAAGAAGCCATAAAACGTGCATTTTCTGGATCTCGTAGTGAAATCAACGAAAACGATCTAAGAGCCTATCTTTGTAGCGATACTGAAACTGAAGGAGAAAAAAACAATTCAATTGAAGAGGCGCCACATTACTCTAAGAAGGAGCTCGCTCGTCAAAAGATGCGTATGGCACTAGGTCTTGAGGATGAGGACTCAACCGTAGACCCCAAAAAAACGGATAAGAAAGTAGGCGATATGGAAATAACATTCACAGCAGGTCTTGAAAGCTCTCACACAAAAAGTATTTTCCAAAATGAGCCGATCAAAGAAGAAACTACTGCTGAGCGTTATGTGCGACTGGAACGGGAGCGCAAAGCGCGACGTAAAGAACGTGCCAAAGCCCGGCGTGAAGGACGCGACCCTGATCTTGCTGCCGATGAAGAAAAATCATCTGAAGCTATAGAAAGTAAAACCCAAGAGGATCTAGGATTTGATGATCCCTTTTTCACTGTCGGTGACGATGCCAAATCGGCATCTAAACCCAAAGCATCGCAGCGGAAAGCCGAGCGGCTCGCTAAACGCCAGGCTAAGGAAGCTGAGGCTGAGAAATTAGCCATGGAAAAGACACAATTAGAACTTCTTATGCACGAGAATAATTCCGGAGACGAAGGTAGGCAGCTGAATCACTTTGATATTAATGAAATCGCTCGAGCAGAGAAGAAGCGGAAGCGCAAAGGAATTAAAGGGCGGACCGAAGTCGGAAAGAGGGGTGGCTTACAGGAGGACTTTGAAATGGATGTGCACGATCCTCGATTTGGGAGAGTCTTTGAGAGTCACGAATACGCCATTGACCCTAGTCATCCTCGATTCAAAGGCACCGATGGAATGAAAAAGCTGCTGGAAGCAGGGCGCAAGAGGCGCCGAGTCGCGGAAGACGATGCCGAAGTAGATACGGCGGGGAGAAATTAGAATTGCCGGGGCAGGGCGGAATACCTAGTACGTGCTGGTCAAGAGCAATCGGATCACAAACTATTATCGAATCTAGAAATATCAGGCAGCCACTGTAGTAATTTTTATTCGCAACTATTGTTGGAATAATCTATCTTGTTGGAGTTATTAGGAGTTGGTGGCTTTTGCAATACGGCTAACCTTTCCCCTTTGACTGGTGAATCTGGACTTCTGGACAATAATTATCCGAATATAGGGATAACAACTGAATGTACTCAAGTTAAACAGATGAATCAATAAAGTAGATCCATTTCTTCTAAAAGATCGTTCTCACTACGCATAACAGTACTTTCATATCTAACAGTTAACCAATAGACTTTTGCATCTAAGTTTTGTTATACCAACAATCGTAATCTTCATTAAACAGAGATTTGCAATCTTAGGTTTCCTAAATAATAGATCCAAGTCTTTGAAAACATCAATTTGGAAAAAAGTAACACTACGATCTACGAGCGTGCTCTCATCTTCTTAACCATTGCTACCAAATCTATCTTCCCATATATTCTTTCACAATCATCTCACGTTGTGCTTCGGGAATAAGGGTCAGGGGGCTGGAGAGGTGGATTTCATAACGGGAAATATTTTTACGGCACCACAAACAGGCAGTGAGATAGCCTCAATTTTGACTCTAGAACCGCTCACGATAGTTAGAGGTGTCAAAATTGATAACCTGAAGACTATAGGGTGTCAATTAAACAAGATGTGATATTATCTGGTCATCGCATGTACTAACAAATCTATAGTAGCGATGATAGAGGTAGATGAGGCTTATTAGGCCTTCAAAGGCCTCGCAGTGATGTTGTAACTGAAACTAACAGCATCGTACACGTAGAAGTAAGTACTGGCCTTAGAGAATGCAGTTAGGAAGTGTCTCGAGGTATCGACGGCTAAGAATAACCACCGAAGAAGTTGGACAGGGAAATGTCTCAGGTCAAAAATAGGGACTGTCCATACGTACGTGGGTTGTTTGTTTCGGTCAGTACTTGCATTCTGTATTTAGAACCGCAAGTTATTCTATTCCTAGCGCCTGTCTATATTTAGAGGTCAAGTTAATCATGATCAGTGTATATAGTCTTAGAATTCCGGGAGAAATAGTAATTAAGTTGTTTTTACTGATTTATCTTTTACTACAATTACATACACTTCGCCTGTCACAGGTCAGTCTCCCAGTTACCTGACACGAGAAGCCGGTCCGCAAGATGCTTCCATATCTGGCACAAACAGAGGGACTATTCTCTGCACCTATCAGTAGTGTCCCCTACGAACCTCCAGCTCTCACCGTAGAGTCTGCAGAGCTGAGATTTTGTAAGACCATCCTCACTTCGATGAGGACTCCCAATCGCATTCGCCGTCTTTATCGTCTTCATCTCTCAACATATTCCCCTATTACCATTATCATGAAGCTAACCACGATCAGATCAGATGTTAGGGTCGAAGCCCTTCTCATCACCAACCTTCGGTCATGGAGGAGAAGCCATACGATGAATTTCTGGAGCATACCCAGCACCCGATACGGCGATGGTGGATTGGATCAAGTCGGCCTCGACTGTTACAAAGGAGGGAGATGTAGATGAATATGCGCACCTCATGTGGTCCCGGTGTCTAGGCCTCGCCCGGCTGGGGCTTCAGGTTTTTTGAGACTTTTTCCTGCACACGCAGTTTCCATTACTACCATTTTTTTTGGCAGAAGGTTCAGTGGAAAAGGTGGCCGAATTCTATGGGTAAACACTGAGCTGAATGGCTATTCATCACGGGCAATATATCAATGATCTTTCGAGTAACAAAAGAGGCTAGGAGCACTGTACAAGGTGTGGCCTGGGTCAGAGAGGAGCCCAATGTGCTAGATAGTCATAGACTCAAGTAGCACAATAAAAAAAAAAGCGAGGATATCGGCAAGAATTTAATACGATTAATTCCGTCTGGCAAATGCTTCGACTCATGTATATAACAGGTCAGCGTGAGAAAGATTTACTACTAACGCAACATCTTATTTACTTATCCTCTACAATAAATTTGTTTACCCAACTCTTTTTTGGGAAGATCATTTATCTATTTTTCCAGTTCTTCATCAGTAAGACTCACGTGTAACATCTACTGTAACTATTTGCCCATTCGTATCTTCCTAGAGAAGACCTGTCGTCCCTTTGACCCATTTATTATCTTCACTTACCATCTAGATCTTCACTAGGCTATACAACGCACCCCGTGGAACACTGTCAAATCCTCATCCTTGAGAGTATATGATGCGTCAAATTTGGTGAAATCAATCATAACTCACATTTAATCCTTTATAACAAACAAATCTCAAACATTCTATCTCGTCATCGCTCTGCAAAGGCCCTCCGGAAAAGACAAAATTTTCATCTTCCAGTGGTACCAGGGTAATTGCTCAATATGCTATCCATATCTAGGATAGCCAAGAAGAATTGCATCGGAATTGAAGTCGAAAGTAAACTAAACCATATCTAAAATCCACGACTTCTCGACAAACGTTGGACCTATCATTACCACGCGAGTCCTCTACATCAATCTTACTACACCACTTCGCCTTTACTTTTGATAAAAGCGTTGCTCTAATTGCAATCGGGCATTTACCTCATCCAAAATGAGCCATCTCCCACTATAAAAATATGATGCCATGCACATCCGGGAACAGGAGACTTAGCCATAATATACAAAGCTCGGGTCTTGGTCTAGTCGGGATTCACATCTTGCGGAAGGAAAGGCAGCTAGAATGTGTAATGACAGCAGGAAGAGGCTAATGTCGAGAATTGTGGAACTAACATTTTCGAGTGTTTTCGACTATGGGATACTCGTGAGCGTCGAGACTACGATTCGGATATTGCCACCGAAATTTTAAAACAAGCGGTGATGAAAAGTGTTTTGGTCCGCCTTCTGGTCGTCATCTCCCTCATTTAAGGTCCGGGCAGCCTCGATACCTACCTCCCTCTCTCGAGAAAGGGAGGACTGTGAGGCCATATCTCGCGCGGCGGCTACGTGCAAGATGAAAAAGGCATTTTAGGGTAGCCAAAGGTTTTTCATGTTTCCCCCTGGTGGATATTAACGGTTGAAGGAAGGGTGAAAGTCCCTAACACCAAGGTCTCGAGAGGTATCAGCGAATGTACCCACTACATGAGTAGTCCAAATGTTAAACTGAGCTATCGTCGTATATAGTCGTCGGGGAAGGACTAGCCTTCTCTGTGTCACGATATATGAGTACTAGGCTTGTGCACGTCACGTATAAATATGCATTTATGATACTGACAATGAGAGAAGATAGAGATTCCTCGCAGGCATGCTGGGTCTGACACTTTCGAGGTGTTTACGATTTTAGAACGTTTTTTGGTGACAATAAAAATGTTTCGATCAATGGGCTAGGAGGACTTCTATTGTCGATGGGTCAACGGCACCACCCAGAGCCCTGGACGGTACAAAAGAAGCTGGGATGGGCTACTATACAGTAATCACACTCTGTCAAGACTTTTCTGACATTTCAGCACGACCTTCGGGAAGGAGTTGGAAGGAGGCCAGAAAGGCAGAGTGTGAATTTCCCGAGGTACTCACGAGCCTGCAGCGCCCAGCTGGCCGGCCCCTTCGAATACTTCAGAGGGTTTGGTTTGGTTTATGAACGTTCTACACAATTGGTACCCTCCGCACTCCTTTTGGAGCTTGAGCACGAGTAGGTCCGGGCTGGATCGGATTGACTACCATATGAGTATAACAAACCTCATCCCACAAAGATTGCTTGAAGACTGGTGGGAAGAGGCCTGTCCGCTTAAATACCGCCAACTTAACCTATAGGTGTGGAGACGAAAACCACCCGAGTTGTAGCTCTCCAGGCACCTTCTCCGCGAACCAATTGCAGCACGAACGGGTCACGGCAATTTTGCAGCATACCATCGCCGTTTTAACAACTAATACGCTCCTATGGAGTGCTCTTGTGGGAAGGAAACTACTCCAACCCACTTCATCCACTGTAGTCGCCACGTACAACACACGCGTAGGCTAAGAAATTCTATGTCCCACGTTGAGATTATCAAAAAACTCCTAGGGCCCAAGTGCCACGATAGCTTCAAGATATTTGCGCAGGAAAACGGCTGTTTTGATAGAAGTCCTGATCACTCATCCATTGCTCTCAGCGGGGCTCAAATAAACTAGTCATTACCACAATGCATTACACGAAAGGGAACGTAGCGAGAATTGTCGTTTCTCTGAAGAAAGATTGTAGCTATTTGGATTTAGGCGGAAAAGAAGTGATTTTTGATCTAGAAGTTGGAGTAGGTGGTTTCTGCGTCGTACTTTACTTCCTACTATTTCTGTAGCAAGTCCAGCGGTTGGAATGAGTTGGGCCTGTACGCAGAGAACCCCACCGGCTCCACCAGTCTTGTACCCAAACTGGACCTAGAGCTTTAGCATAGGACTTTAACATAAAAAATAGAATGAAACCTTGTCCCACCTCAGACTCTACTCACGTGTTGAGTATGTGAAGTTTAACCGTCCAGAGAACCTATTTTTACACGCTGAGGCGTAATTTCTTCCTCAGACTCGATCACCATACGTCGGGACCCTTGACATCGTCTCATTCTTGAGTTTGTCCTTAACATTCAGTCTCAACTTTAGCTCATCTCATCAAGGGGTCGTTTTCTTCATTAGTGGCTTCATCCAGTCGCCCACCAAGGCTTCCTCAGTTTACATTCCCAATTTTCCTCCCCCATACAGCATCTCTTTGTCTTTTTGCCAGCTTCATAATCCTATAAACTTTGTAGAGTGTCCAACCCCTCCGGCCTTGCTCAGTCGCTGCCATACCCCTAACCGTGGAGGTCGAAAATGTGACAGAGAGCTCCAGACCAAGGCATAAATGCTTCAGCTTTTGTCGAATACTCTAGTGAGTGTGCCGGCAAAATGTCGTGCGTATTTCGTCGGTGGCGATTCGTCGCAGGTCGAGCTTATGGTGTCCTTGGCCGAGGTTGGACGAATATAAGGCCAATACGTTGACCACAACTTAACAGGGCACGACAGTTGCGAGGGAATGAATTTCCACTTGAATCTTAGATGATGAAGATGATTTTTAGATTCTGTAGTACTTCGTTGAGTGGTGAGATGAGTTTAAATGAAATAGATCTTCCGGGAAATTCTGAGAGTGAAATGTGTCAATTATTTTAATAGTAATATCAGGTAGGTTTAATCCTGTCTGTGATTCGTATATGTGGTGTAAATGTTTTTATTCGCTGGGTTGTACGGTCGTAAGAGCTCTGCAGGTCAGATTTTGGACAAGAAATCTTGCCAGCACAACTCCTCCCAATAGACGTCACGAAAAGAATTATCAACTACACCCTTTTTCGTAACTGAATCTTAGTTTTGAAAGAGTATTTCACCCCAGGTTTGTAGAGACTACTACTAACAGGTGTTCAGCCTTAGCCCTCCAAACACTTCAGAAGGATAGCTATTTCTGCAGATTTAGTCCTAATGTCGGTGTTAGAAGATCCCCGTACCCAGTGATTATTGCGAACTTCCCCTACTGTCATACATCCGCGAATCTTCATTGTTTCGTTGACTAGAGAGGAGATATAATGAAGGGTAAAGGGCTCCTCTAAGTGTATGATCGAGTAAGGACTTGTGAGGGCTGGTATCGTTTGGGGGGAAGCTGTACCGGAGGCATAGGTATCTTTAGCCTGTAGGTAGAGAGGACTGCATGTCCTACATAGATAAGATTAATTTTACAGTTATATCTGAGTCTAAGACTGTAGAGAACTTCTAGAATCTATGTGATAGAGTCTAGCTACATTGGAGTATTTTTTATAATCAATTCAACTTGTGTTCTTTTAGACAGTGAGGGTCATTCCCACCATAAACATAGTCATAGACTTAGATAGGGCAATATAATGAATTAATACAGGCGTACTTTGAGTCCCTAGTCTATGGTAAGCCACTTTGAAATCGATCGCATAGCGTGGCTACAGAGTAATCTTTTTCAACGCAGTGTCTCGTGACTTGGACATATAGAGACTAGCTGCTAGGATGTTGAGAGAGCAGAGTCCCAAGGATAGGGTATGACAGAGGGAAATACACGATTTATGGAGAACATATGATGTGATTCAGTGAGTACACAATGATAAGGCGGTACTACAATTTGAGCATATGGACAGCCTTCACTTGACCAAACGGCTGATTAAGCAGCATTTATTCATATTTGCACAATTTAAAGAATGCTTGACGACCACAATTTTCCGTTATTGCACTAGTGCCGGAAATATTAGGCAATTTTATTAGAGTTGCATGGAACAGAGCGTAAAGGTCCATTTCGTCAAATAAATCTAGGAATGACATTTAACATTACGCTCATCATTAAAGGGTACCACACATTATTTCACACCTTCAAAAATACCTCGTTGAATTCTCTCGATCCAACTAAAAAGGCTAGTAGAACCTAAGAAAAAAGACGCCTTGCATGTTACAGTGCAGATGTACCAGTGCATTATTATTATTTTTTAATTTATAACTTTTTTAATCTCGATTGTTTCCCATAGGAACAAAAATCTGCATGTTCAAGCAGCCATCTGTATGTTTATAGGATAATACCATGCGCAAACGGCGATAATTCTTTAATATGTTAGCAGAGAAGAGCTTCAGAGGTTAACACTCACAGATAAAGGCATACGAGAAGCATGCCTTCTAACCAATGACTTTTTCCGTCACCTATTAGATAGTTTACGAGTAGAACAGATACGAAAAGAACTGCAACCTGAAAACCGTCAAAGCTTAAAGTCATGCCTTCTTTACCCTGAATCCAGCCAATAACAATCACGAGAGGAATTACCAAAAGCGAGATTTGCATACTAGAGCCAACCGCAACCGCAATTGCGAGATCCATCTTGTCTTTAAGTGCCACAGTGACCGCGGTGGCATGTTCTGCTGCGTTTCCAACAATTGGTAGGAGGACTAATCCCACAAATTCCACAGATATAGTTCCGGTGGCGGTAATAGCTGAGATACCTCCAACCATAGATTCAGCGCAGACACCGATAATTCCAGTAACAACTGCGAGTGTGAGCCAGGCTACAGCTATATGAAGCTGAGGTTCTTCGGGATCATCGGCTGCGGCTTCGAATGCGTCAGTTTTTACCAGTACGTCGGTCTCTGGCTTGTCGGGAAAATAAGGGCGCCCTGTCCCAGCTCCAATAGCACCGGCACTAGCAATACCTTTGGATATTGCTCCTTTACTAATTGTATTCTTGCGAGGCTTTAGAGCAACTTTTTGGCTTTTAATATTGAACATATTTTGATGAGTGTGTAGCTGAAAGAAGATATAGGCAGCATAGACGAAAAGAAGAATGACAGAGGTACCGCGGGAAAGAGATGCTATATTTGCGGAATTTCTGGATTTAGAGAAAAGATCGAAACATGTTGGAATAATAATACTGCCGATCGAGAGTGCCAATAAACTCGCTGCAGTTTGGGCAACCTCTTGATTAAAAAATTGCTCGGTTCTTCGTATTCCGCCACAGAAAAAACACATTCCCATAACTAGAAGAAGGTTCGATAAAATGCTACCAATGAGAGAAGTTTGAACAATAACAAATTCATCTTTTTCGAGAGCTATTACAGAGACGATTATCTCTATAGCATTTCTACATTTGTGAGTATATTAATACAGGGTCTGGGATTTGCTTACCCAAATGAAGCGTTAAGTAGACCGCCTACACTTTCTCCGACATGCAGTGATATTTCTTCGGTCGCAAAACTTAGAAGACTAGCTAGGGGTACAATAGCTGTGAAATTAACGACGAAAACAATAATACCGTTTACACCTGCAAGCTTGCATGTTATCCCAGCTGGCGCTGCTAAGAGCAAGATGTTTATCCATGAGTTGAAGAGAATAGCTTTCATCTGGTTCATGAATGTAAATGGTTCATGTTTAAGATCTTTCCCCATGTACCATGGTCGCTTTTTTGCAATCTTGTCGTCTTCAGTCGCACCAACATTATTTGTGGGGTGTTCGGGATTTCCGCCAAATATATGTCGAGCTCTTTCTTCGTCGCTCTTAAAGTTGTCTACTTCTGTGGCATCGACGTCTTTTTGAATGCTGATATCTATATCGATAATCTCTCTTACGCTCATTTGCCCGGCCATAGGCTGGGTTGGAAATACGGGCTCTGTCTGTACAGATCGAAGTCTATTTTTACCACCGCCAACAGCTTGCTGCTCTAGATCATTTCTGGATGGAGCATTTAAAGAATTATTTCTTATGTTTCTTTTCCAGGTATTCCACGACTCTGCAGAACGGGCTTCTCTCTGAGCTTGACGCCTCATGCTATCTTCGAGTGTCATAAGTTAGATATCAGCCACATGTAGGTTCAGGAGGCTTACATGGAGAGAATGTATTCATTTTGGTGAATAAATGCGCTTGTGCGCAGACGAACTTGTGGTATTATATCTGTGACTACTTCGAGGATATTACTCTTCAGCAATGGCTTATTATTAATTGAACAAATTTCCGAAAGAATTTAGAAGAAAGTCAGGGGCGGCGGTCATTACTTGATAACTTTGATTGTAGAGTATTACAGATAAGTGGAAAAGAGAGAAATATGTGAATATGGGTCGTAATTGTATAGGTTATTATGTGGTTGGCAGGGATCAAAAATGTATGCAAGGATGTTGTGATTGCCTCTTTGCTTCGCGAAACAACTCGTGCTTGAAGTTGTTGCTGCCGTCTCTACTTTACTCAAACACACGATAACTGAAGTAAGTTTATGCTAGTCCAAGCTCCAGTTTGGTGGAGATAGTCCCTTCAAAAATACTTCCTGCTGATAAAGGTCTAGATTTTTACTGCACATAAACGTACAAACGGAAACTTGTTTAAACGGCTCGGCGTGATAGCTAGGCCTTACCAAGTAAAATAAGCGAACTAAGGATAGATGTTCAACAAGGATTTGTCGCGGAGAGACTAAAATTCCCAGCGCTCAAGGATAATGTCTGTGTGGATAAAGCATGAACTCCGTTCCCGATAAGCGAACTACCCTACTGAAGCGTATGTTAATCCTCTAGCTCCGGCATATGTGAAAGATAAGAAAAGAAAAGATATGTATGCACACGCTGGTGCGTGTCGTACTCGTGGTCAATAACGCAAGTGAGACAAGACTGAGCGCAAGTGTGTACAAATCCTTCGAAACTTGTGAGTACCATTCCGCCCCCCCCCTTGCGAGGTTATTTTCTACTAGATCCTTTACGGCACATCACAAACATCAATCACGATTTATTCCCGGCCCATGCCATACTGAGAGTATCTTGATACAAGCATGATTGTACTAGGAAGAATGAACACCATATACGAAACAGATATTCAATTGAAACGTTCGACTCCACATGATACGCAATTTCTGACAGAACCGAAGAGATTCAATCTGAAGCTCGGGTGCACGGGTTGGCTACGAAGCTTCCCCGCCTCGTGAATCAAATCTCACCCTGCAAAAATTAAAGGCGCTAACATGGGTGCCCATGTCGACTGCCAGAGCCTTCACACGCAAATTTGGAACTAGTGAAAACAGATGCTATTGTGGTGGATCCTCGGCCCCACTCATTATGACAGGGCGCTCACACAATAGCACCCATATTGGTCGCGCTGTGCGTTCTATTTACTGTTATTAAATGTACTCACGGTAGACTCTGAACTAAAAGCACGCCTGTAATCTATATCACAGAATGCCTGGTAAGTTCGTTGAGTCTGATGTAAGTTGGTTGATTCGTGTCCAACCGAAAACTCCTAATGACGCTAACTCTAATTAAGATTACATAATAGCGCCTATAACATAATAATGACTTCCAACATAATAACACGCGACCAGGACACACACCATCCCCCCTTTTAGACTCCGTCATCGTCAACCTGGTTCCATTGTGATAGTGCATCCGAAATTCTACGTCTATCCTTTTCAAACAGAGTTTTACTGCCGTACCAAAGAGATCTTACAGGATGTCCATCTCTAACGTAAGCTGGGAATAGCTGCTGACCGTGATACTCGTTTCGCAGAGTAAATCCTCCCGGAGTGCGCAGAACATAACCATTGTGTGGAGAGGCATCCGCAATGATAAAGGGTCCGTCATAGAATGGTTCACCCTTGTGATCTCTTTTCCTTTTCCTTTGCCGCAAAACCCAATCACCCTTTCCAAACACTCTAAGTCGAGCTTTCTTTTCCTGTAGGTATGTACGAATTTCGTCCCTTGCTGCTTTTCCCGTTGCGACATTTAGGCGCGCATCTTGTACCCTAGGATTATACAGTTTAACGAGATCGGTAGCGAAAGCAGTTTCCTCAGCAGGAGTTAATTCTCGCACATAAGGGCTTGGGGAATATTCGTGCGGGACTCCTAGAGCAAGAAAAATAGGACAATATCCAGTTGAGTTAGGACGGCGATTATACGTGCTGAGTGACTGGATCTAGGATCCACTGCATACCACGAGACGGGTTAATAGCGGATATGGCATAGAAAATAGTCTTAATGATGCCGTTGAATCGTTCTACTTTGCCGTTTGTCTGTGGGCGGTATGGTTTGGTTACAGACTGTTCAATAGACCTTTCCTTACAAAACGACGACATTTCTTTGCTCACAAATGCTTGGCCATTGTCAGTTATTAATTGCTTGATGCCAAACAGTGAATGAATTTGTCGGCTTAGTTCTAAACAAGAGGCAGTGTTTGGTGATTGCGTCAGCAGTGCCATCGCATACGAAGTTGCGTGATCGATAGAGGTACATAGGTAAGCAGATTGACCGTTATGGCGCACCGGACCGGTATGATCCATCCCCCACCTTGTGAAAGGTACTGGGGCTTGCACTGGGCGTAGATTATCCTGCTTGTGTATATCAATTGGTTGCGTCATAAGTTGACATCTGGAACAGGTCTTAAGCGCTTCCTGCGCGGCTAAAACAATATCTGGATGCCAGAGATGATTCCTTGACTCTCTAATTAAAGATCCTATCGAGCAGTGTGCACTTTGCTCATGCAACTTAACCAAAGCTGACACAAGCTTGCCGTAGTGGTGGATTATTAAAAATTTGTTGTCAATCACTCGGTATGTTGAACCATTGTGAGATGCGAAATTTAGATTAACCCAGGGTTCAGGAAGATTTTCCGGAAGAGTCACACGATGCTGTAAAAACTCAGCAATCGATTGCAAATCTATCCAGGTCAGTCTTTCAGCATCCGGTAGCGTATTAGATGTCGAATTTTCTGAATTGTTATGGACCGGGTCGTATCTTGCGATTGGGAATGAGGTCGTTTTGATTGGTGGTCGTGAAAGCCAATCTGCAAGATGGTTTGATTTACCCTTTTTGTAAACAATTGTTGGATCGAAATGTTCAATAACGTCTACAAATCGTTGCATTCGCCGAGGTAAATTGGTCTTTTTTCGAATCCCTGCCAAACTTTCGTGGTCGGTCCTTATTATAATTTCACAACCTTCAATCCAATCTTGCCAAGTTTGAAGAGCTTGAACAATTCCCAGGGCTTCGCGTTCTTGTGAAGAATATCGCTGCTGCGTAGGGTTGAGTTTGCGACTCGTATAAGCCACAGGATGCAAATGTGCACCATCCATAGTAGGCTGTAAAATTCTTAAACGAATGAATGGCGAGAAAGGATCTTCGGGTTGGAGGAGAACACCACCAGTATATTTGTCGGATGCATCGACATCGAGAACCACTGGTAAATGGGGGTCCATGGGTTTCAAAATTGGTGTGGTAATGAGAGCATTACGTGTAGCTTTCCAGGCTTCGATTTGCTCGGCACATAATGTAACAGGTACATTTTTGCCTTCCAAAGACGTGAGACTATAGAGAGGCCCAGCTAATTTGCTGAAATGCTTGATGTAATCACGAAAGTAATTACATGAATTAAGAAAAGCCCGAACTTCCGTAACAGTTCGTGGCATGGGTCTCTCGAGAATTACCTGGATCTTTGAAGTATCTACTTGAATGCCGTGTCTGTCAATAATATGTCCCAAAAATCCTGTCTGCGTGACAAACCAAGCGCATTTTCGCGGGTTTAGCTTATAGCCACCTGATTGCAACTGTTCCATTATCCGAGTAGCGTTGTCGGTCGCAGCTTTTACGGTATTACCCCATGTTATCACATCGTCTATCATATTGGCCGTTATATCTCGGACTGGCTGAAGGCATTCATCCATTGCTTTCTGAAAAGTAGCAGGAGCGTTGGTCAATCCAAAGGGCATAACCTTGAACAGATACTGCCCCTGAGGTGTGACGAAGGAACAAATTTTTTGTGCCCTATCAGTGAGTTCTATTTGATAGAATCCTGACTTGAGGTCAAGTTTAATGTAAAATTTATGACCTGAAGCTTTCCTTATTTCGTCTTGTACCACAGGCAGTGGGTAAGCTGACTTTTCTGTATGAGAATTGACTTGTCGAAAGTCTATTACCATTCGTCCCTTTGGCTTACCGTCTTTGGGGACAAGTATTGCACGACTTGAGAATGGGCTTTGACCACGGTACAACACTCCTTCTTGTATTCCTGCACGAACGAAATCTTCTAGTACACGAGTGTCTTGGGGCGAGTAACGTCCCGGAGCGGATTTTAAATTGACATTGGTGTCTAGGATTATGTCGTGCTTAACCCCTGTTGCACGCGTAGAGCTACCTGCAACTTGTGTTGCATCAAATAACGCTCGGAATTTCGATTTGAGAAGCAGTATGCTATTGTCGATTTCCTTATGCTCAGCCATGGAGATGGGTGGAGGTGGACGGATGCTTAATTCAGTTGGGAGTTCAGTTGGGTTATTTAATACGTTGAAAGCAGTAGGAACATTTGTCGTTGTCCAGGCTGTGACTTTCCTAGCATCGGATTCTTTTTTCGAAATTGGTGTAAGCAACGGAGCGTCAGGAAATTTGGTTAGTTTGACACAGTCAGTGCCAGGGACGTAGAGAATTCCCAATTCGTGTAGAATTGATCTTCCTATCGTTAAAGGTGCGGGAAATGTTCCATCTGGCACTACCCCACAGGCTAGCTTTAATGAATTTACGTGTCCAAAATCAACTGAAACGGTGCAGTCGTAATTAACCACGGGTCCTAGTTTCTTTGCGACTCCTTGTAGCTGTACTGGCGATTTTGACAAAATTAAATTATTAGAAGAAAGAGTGGAAGCAATAGAAGAAACAATATAGCAACTAGCAGTACCACTATCAGGAAATGCAAAACTTTCAACTCCGTTTATATGACATGGAAAAAATCGATGATGATCCGTAGCGCCTTGCCTAGAAATGTATGTCGAAATAGAAGGAAATTGTTTAGAATTAAGGTGTATATTTTGTTTAGAATGAAACATATTTTCATCGTCAGTAAGGACGGTTGGATTATCCAGGCTCACGGCGTCAATATTG